TGTTTCCAGGGGCCCTTGTTGAACTCCTTCTCCCTCAGAGAAACCTCGTAGGTCTTCACATGGCGTCCCTGGGGATCCTATGATACACAACACAGCACCAAGCTACACTTTTAACTGCCTACAACATTTTAACATTTTAACATTTTACTATGACTATGGGCTTTAGATAATTCAGGAAAAATTCACACAATAAATTTAAAGTCACGTCTGTATGAATTTACGAACAAAGTCGTTCCTCAGACACACTCTCCTTCCTTTCCTTCAGTACCTGGTAGATGAAGCAGACGGTCGGGGCCTGGCAGCCATACAGGAAGTGAACATCAATGACCTGCAGCTCCTCCAGTCTGATGTTAAAGGCCTTGAGCTCACGGTTGTCCCGGTCCAACGGGATCACCTTGAACAACCCGTCATACAGCCGCAGGCCAATCATGCGGCATTCTGGGTCTACAATTCCGATAATACCCGTCTCTGATGGGCGTCCAATACGATCCTGAAGAAAAGAAGGTTTGGTTTGGAGACGTTTAAGGACGGCAGTATACTGTGTGTTCTCAGACTGCTGTTGAACACAATACAACTGGTAAACCTTTTTAAACTCTTATACTTTAAAATAGGGACTGATTCCACTGATATAAACACTATTAAAGAATATAAAGGTTCTTGTTTACTTAAATCAGATTTGTCATGAGTGAAACCCAACAGTGAACTGTTGCATTCAATCAAGGTTAATGAGAGAACGTCTGTTCTTTATACAAACAAACCATAAAAAATCTGAAATGCACATTGATTGAGGAGAAATTAGAACAGTGAATGTGAGGAATCATATTTGTCCTGCTGTCTCACCCACCTGGACGTTGCCGTGGGCACGGGTGATGATGTCGATGCTCTCCCCGTTCTGCTTGTATTCTAGGATGCAGGCGTTGTACTTGGATGTGAGGATGAACAGCAGGTCTTTGCTCTCACCCTGAACGAACGAGAAGAGACACCAAAGTCATCAAAGAGCGAACATGCAGAGGCCTAATTTTAATTTCATTAACACGGTTCAGGACGACAGGCTGGAGCAGAAGTGCTGATCAGACACCTGATTAACTGCCACCGGCTTAAGTAGAGAGACAGACTGTAACAGTGTAGGAATCCACTAGTCAGCCTAAAGCCAGGTGTATTATGGGATTATTATCCTTTTAACTTCATCCCAGATTCATAATAGCCATTAATATTAGGCAGGTTTCTATTTTTTCCCCCATTTGTAACTTCACGAATTAAGGCCGCCACATACAATGTGGCAAATGCACCTTCCAGGAACAACATAGAATATTACGATTAATCAATTAATTCATCTACAAAGCAGAATAGAGTTTGGGAAAAAATGCCCCTCACAGCTTCACAGAGCCGATGTTGATGTCTTCAAATGTCTGGTCAACTCAGTGTGGCACAGAAAAGCAGAGATCAATTATCAGAATAGTTGCTAATTATTTTTCTCTCAATCGACAAATAAATGAATCGACCATTTGTTTCAGCACGATGTGACACTGCTTTTAACTTATGTTCAAATATATAAAATGTCCATCTGCAAACCACACTTAAAGATGACAAAGGAGCAAAATAGACCATAAACCTGTGTGAAGTTATTCACTTTATTTTGAAGTTTTAGCCAATAAACTGCAGATAACATCGAAGATTGAAGCCTTAACCAGTAGTTCCAAAAGCTCACCTGCAACATCTGACTTAGTAACCAGCTGCACACACAAACAACACCTACCTTGGGCCTAAAGAGCTCCATGACGGCAATCTTTCCATACATGCCGACTTCTTTGACGGGCCGCAGCCCCTCTGCTGTGACCACATAGATCTCCAACCGTGTGTTTTTGGCTATGAGCAGATTGAGGTCTTCCGCAGAGGTGAAGTGACCTGCAGACACAAATTTACATTATGTTAATTATACTGCTGTTGCTGTTTTACTGCTTGAGCAACGAGAAGAAAAGATAACAGCAATATGAGCAAAATCATCATTTTCTTTACAAAATATTTTACTAACAGTGTAGCAATACTGAGGGATGATTATTGGTGCTTTAAAGGATATTTTACTACTAAGTAAAATATACTAAGTCAGTACAGACAGTCAAAAAGAATAAACTCCAATCACAAATAACCTGAGCCCTACCTGTGATGCATTTAAACCCCAAGTATTCTATTCACTACAATATTATATAACAATATAATAATAATGATGGTGCAAAACAGAGAAAAGCAAAAAAAAAACATTCACATTGGAGAAAATAACCAGCAAATATTTTAAATATTTTAAAACATTTTATCACAAGTTCAATTCACTCTGCAACAACCAAACAACAATCACATAAGTTCAGAAAATTGTATCAGTTATTACTGAAAACAGCAAGTTGACATTAATTTTAGATGTCTTTCAGACTCAAAACTATTAAAAATAAGATAAAGTTACAATCATACAAATAAAAAGCAGGAAACCATCAGATGTGAAAAACTGGAAACATGAAAAACTGATTATCGAAATGGATTAAAATAAATGTTCTGTTAATGACTAATCGATTAATGGTTTCAGCTGTATTTATATATACTGCTGGGTATTTTACTCTATAAGACATCCTGTTTTATGTATCTTATAAAGATGTTTGTGCAAAATCTTAATTTGTAAAGTAAGTAGTAACTTAAGCTGTCAGGTGAATGTAGTGGAGTAGAAGGTAAAGTATTTCCCTCTAAAATGTACCAGGGTAGAAGTATAAAGTGTCATAAAATGGGCACACTCAAGTAAAGTACAAGTTCCTCAGATTTATTCTTAGTTACATGTCATCACTGTTTAATGTTACACGGAAGTAAAATGCGGATGGGTCAATCAAGTGATTAATGGGCTGTGAGGTTCCTCGGTGACGGTTTCAGTATCAGCTTTTACGTATCCTGTATTTTGTGGCGCATTGCACGTTAGATGAAACGGCCACACGAGCTTCCTTAACGTTATATTATCAGAAAACACGGACTGCCAAGTACGTTCGAGCCTGCAGCGCGTGACACAGCCTGCAGTGACTGTTCGATACGTGATAATAAAGACGATTGATTGTCACCAACACGAAACGCATTTTGATCTGGGATAGCCAGATTAGACACGACAACAGCTAACGTTAGATTCGAGAGAAAGGTTCAGCGGATCGGACGTGAACAGATGACGGACGTGTGTGTGCCATGACTTGCGTGCAGAAAACCAGTGGCTAGTGTAGCAAGTAAACATTTGACTTAGCAAAACAATAGCTAGCAGCTGCTCCGGGCCCGTTTGGAGCACTTTACTTGTCGCGCGGGAGCTCAGCTAGCACGCAGGTGGGCAAATGTTTCTCTCTCTGCAACAGAAAATACAAGAACAAACAGCGGGTATTTACCGGTGATGCAGGCGTTCACTGCCGTAGGTTTCTGGGCTGTAACCACGTAGTTGTACGACATTTTTCACAACAACAAAAGACAAACACCAGAGCAGTGTTTTAATCTTGCACAAGACACAAAATCATTGATAATAAAACTCCCGGAAGTAGTTAGCGGAGCCGTTTAGGCACGGAGGGTAGCTAGCTAACGGTAGCCGAAGAGCGGTGACTCAGAGGTGGAGCGCCCCCTGTGTCGCGGAGGACACGTTACACCACTCAGTGTTTTTATGTATAAATACATACTTTACTATTACTTACTAATTTTAAGGTACTTGTACTTTTTCATCCAACTTCTACTGCACTTCATTTCAGAGGAAAATATTGTACTCCATTACATTCATCTGATAGTTTTAGTTACTTTTTACTTCGGATTTTTGCATAAAAAAACTCAACAAGTCCTCATAAAATGTGATGCTTTGTTAAAAAATTAGACTATTCAACTGTGTAAACAAGTACAGCTCCAACCGTTGGCGAAGACACACATGGAGGCAAAATATGTCAACAATGCAGCTCAGACTGAAGCTGTGTCTCTGCTGCAGACTCTGTTTGATAGGGATCAAAAATAAATTCATTTTAAAATGTGCTTTTTTTGTTCTAATGCAGCTGCCTCTCCCAGTCTGTGGTCACCACTGTGGCCTGGAGCAGCTTCATGCCTCTTCATCAGTGTAATGTAAGTCGACAAAGAAGCAGCTTTAAAGTGAAGAATTTTCTGAACCAGGAATATTTTCTTTTCTTTTTAGAGATCATAATCTGGCACTCCACAGATGTGAGGCAAAACGTTTGAGAACTTTCTAGTTCATACATTTAAATCCAATAAAAAGGAAACAACTAAAGCACATTGTGGAAGCATTGTGAAGTTTAACTGGCAGTGGAAGTCTAAAGCTGCAGTTTCAGTCATGTCTCAATGTGTGTGTAGTGCATTATTTAATGATAGCACAACAGTGAAGGATGCTGATTTCTTAATTGTAGTGCAAAGAACACTATTAGTATGTAGTGTACACTGTGAACAGTTAATTTGGGATCATGCAGCTGAAGACAGATCCAGAATTTTGAATAAAATATGAGTATGTATGAGCAGTGAGATCGACACTGAGAAACAACAGGGAGATTGTGGAAAGGAAAACAGGTGAGACCCTGACTCACCTGGACATACAGAACCGCCTCCTCTTCTGACACAGGTGGTGTGTGTGTGTGTGTGTGTGTGTGTGTGTGTGTGTGTGTGTGTGTGTGTGTGTGTGTATAAAACGTCTCTGTAGACTAAATGTAGTGGAGTTTGCACTAACATGTATCAGACGTAATAACATGGGAATATTAAAACAGCAGCACATTGTTGCACCTGTCTTTGTAGCGCTCTCTTCTGATCAAATATTTTAATTAGTTTATTACTGAAACTCCTTTTACCAATCAGTGTAATTTCATGGGGGAAAAATTCAATCTTCACATTTGAAATCTTTAAAAACAACTGACTTGTTCTTGTTTCTGAAGCATAAAATAAATAGAACAATTACACTGATTAGCAGCTTGATGAAAATAATTAAAATAATGCACCAGACGAGCTCATCGTTCATAGTTTATTTATTGAAACTAAAAAAAGAACAAGCAGGTAATGATGTGACTCAAGCAAACAGAGGTACAGATAAAAATAATGCATTTGAAAAGGTCACTTTTTATTATAAAACCCCAAAGATGAATTTAATGAAAGCCCTCACACACACACACTCGCTCACTCACACACACGCTCGCTCGTGCACACACACCTGTTTCAGCTACACTACCGTGATCCACAGACGAGCCGTCCGTTAGAAATAATTAGTGTTTGGAGAATTCACCAAAGCCTCGTCCCTTAAACAACAGCCTGATATATTCCTGCAGCTCCGCTGGTGAATCGCACTTCTTTCTAAAAGGTCACTCTCACTCTCGAGGTCGGCGAACACCGTGCGGTCGTGATGAGGGATGTCAGTTTTGCTCCACGCCTCACGCTATGACACAAGAACCCGAACGTCCACGGCGGCAAGTCACAAATACACAAGTCTCACACGCATCGAGAAAAACAAAAACATGTTTCCAAATCTATTATTTGTCAAAGCGTCATAACTCTTCTCTCTGTACATGATTCTACGCATGAACCTGTGTAACGTATGAAGATGATTAAAATAATACTATGAATATAGTGTTTTTGTTTCGCTTGTACTTTTACATCATCGACTCTGATCAATTTACACATCGGTAAAGGAGGAAGCCTCATTATTGATCACATATAATCAATCCTTTACTGGTGTAAATGTTCGATGTATTCGTACTATATGAATCAACAAGTGCAGCTTCAATCTGGGGGGAGGGGGGGGTTAAACTCCTGTGCAACGCAGCAACTTTACACAGACAGACCAAGGAGCAAAAGGGGGTTAATCAGCTTTTTGGTCCATAGTCGATGTACTGGACAGTATATAGCTATTAATATACATAATAATCCAAAGTGGAGGTTTTATCTCTTTGATCTGCTCCTGCTTTACGTGAAGGTCGAGCTACTGAGCAGTGAGCACCCTGAGTCCTAGGCACAAGACTCATCTGGTCTTTGGTGAGACTCAACGACGCCTGATCGAAACCTCGTGAGGCCGAAGTCTTATAACACGAATCTGAAAATAAAAACAAATACTTAAAGCTGCAAAATGCAACATGCGGCTGTGAGGCAGGAGGTAAAGAGTTAAAGTCACGCCGGGGCCCGAAGGAGGCGACGGTCAACAGCCTGAGTCGCATCCTGAAGCTTTAACGCAGCAAAGCTTTGAGCCTGTTTTAAACCCAGATAATGAGATCTATATATGTTCTCTGCGTCACTCTGAAATAACTCTGTCACTGCTGCACAGAGAGGCGAAGACCTGAAGATGGAGTAGGGGGGGGCGTATAGGAGACCTGAGGACGTCTCACAGTGTCGAAGCACTAAAGATGAGGTGAAGAGAGAAAAGACCAAAGTGTGGGAAGGAAACAGGATTGGAAATCGTCTCCTTCCTCTTTTTTTTTTTCTTTTTTGTTTTTACAGAGAGACAGGTCATCTTGGCGGGGGAGGGGTGGGGGGGTGGGGGGGGTCATCATTGCCGAACCTCCACGTAATTGGCCGGGAAGAGGCCGTAGGCGCCTCTGCACACGCCTCGCCACCAGCCCTCGTCAATCATCTCGATGTTGGTGATGATGTCATCGGGGTCGAAGGAGATCTCGTCGTCGCCGGCTGAAACGGGAAAAGACGGATTAATGACGAAAGCAGCTGCAAGAACCTGAAACGATTCTACGATCAATCAACAGGAAATTCAGCCACGAGAAAGTGATCAGAAATAAGAAGTTTAATCTTTCAGCCGTTTTTCTGTTTGTAAAATGATTATTTTTTAAGCTGCTGCCAAAACAACGTCTGAACGTGTCGGTTTCCATGAATGTCACTGTTTTATCATATTTAGTAGATAAAACAATTAACAAATAACAAACCACTAGAACCATTTCTCCATCTGAAGCCACTGAGACTCTGAGTCTGTCAGACATCATACATCAGAGCTGGCCCATTAATCTAATTATATTTTTGATTATAAAAACAAGATAATCGAGATAAAACGATTATTGTGCCTCATTCTGTTTCAGAACAAAATTTCATCCCCCAAACAAAAACCACCTGATGATGTCATTAAAGTTTTCTTTTCTCTTGTGTAACTGGAAAAACCACAGACACAAGGCTTTTTGTTTTCTGTTGTTTTCTAAAGTTCAGTGAATACGTGGTGATTGAATCAGAAGCCCTAGATTACGTAACTCCGTTATAAATCCCGATGTGATCGAGCTTCGTTCTCACAATCAGTCTCACCTGCTTGGTAGTCGTACAGCGCCACGGCGGTCACCCCGAGGTCCTCGCCGTACTCGTACTGCTGCCCGTCTGCAAGACCACAAACGTTTCGTTACCACAGTTTTAATCTTTGTTTAATCTTTGTCTTTCTATGTGAATGTGTTTTAATGAACCGTCGATGGGACAATAATAAAACTTTTCATATCTTTATTCTGAGAACAGGCTCAGACCTCATGGCAGTGAGCAGATGAAACCTTGAAAGTAATTTCTCGACAATAAAAGTCAAACATCGACTTGTTTCCTGAAACCAACAGGTGAAGAAGTGAGAGGGAAACAGTAATAAAGTGGGAGCTTCACCTCCTGCTGCCGTCTCCTCGGGGGTCTGGTACAGGTCCTCCTGCTGTGCGTACTGGTTCTGCGGCTCCGCCTCGTACAGCTGCTCTCCGTTCTCCTCAGCAGCATCATACGACGCCTCCTCCGCGGCCTGGCGAGGAAAATACAAAGTGTGAGGCTTCAGGATGGAGGGAGGGAAGGGAGATCTGGAGGAAAGGTCTCACTGGTATAAGTCAGAGTTTCGATCGAGTCGCATCGTGTTAAGTGTTAAGTGTTAAGTGAAAGTCGACGTTGTTTCTAACCGTGTTTTTTTAAGTCAGTGCAGATTTCCTGAGCGACGTTGATGGAAAATCAGAGAAATAAACTCTGGTCATTTTCTTTGAGGTCGTTTGTGAACTGGAACAATCCTCCAGTGAAGTTTCCTGCACTTTCATATCAACAGGTCGTTTAGAACAATGACTGACTGATCTGAGATTCAACATGTATGTACACGATGAAGTTCATGACTGAAATCATGTGACCTGCTCCTCCTCTTTGTGTAACCACTTCTTCTTCTTCGCTCTCAGCTCTTGGCACGGTGGAGCTTTAGAACAGACTCACGTGGTACGGTGCTGCTGCTGGAGCTGGAGCTGCAGCTGCTGGAGCTGCTGCTGCTGGAGCTGCTGCTGCTGGAGCTGGAGCTACCGCCGGCTCAACAGGTGGGGTCGGGCTGGGACTGGCGGCGGGGACCGGAGACGGGGCTTTGGGCGCCTCTTCGATCTTACGGCGCGCCTCCTCCTGCTCCTGCTTCTCCTTGGCCTGTCGACGCGCCCGCTCCTCCTCGGCCCTCTTCCTGTCCTCCTCCTCCTTCTGCTTGGCGATGTTCTCGAAGCGAGCCTTGATGCTTCCTGTGCCGCTGCCGGCTGTTCACAGGAGGAAAGACGTGGTGAGTTCACAGGCCGTCAGACCTTTCTGACTCAAACACACAGATGACGGGGACGGACACTCACCAGCCTCCACAGGTTTGGTCTTCTGGTAAGAAGAGGTCGGCTTCTCCACGTCCTCAAACGTCCCTGCACTCTGTCGAAGACAGAGAGGAAGACAGGAAGACAGAGATGAAGACATGAGACAGAGAGGAAGACATGAGACAGAGAGGAAGACATGAAGACAGAGATGAAGACAGGAAGACAGAGAGGAAGACATGAAGACAGAGGAAGACATGAAGTATTCTACTTTATTTTCTTGTTATTTATTTTGTTTGATTCAATTAAAACTACAAATCCAGACATCACCTGGCCCAGTGGGGGGGTGGGGG